TTCTGGGCCAGCTCTGCCCAAGATGCCAACCCGAGATCTCTGCGGATCCTGGGACTGCTTTCCTGACCACCTTCCCAGGTCCAGCCAAGACGTAGCTCCCGGGTCGGGAAGCGTGTGCCGGGACGCCCTGGACCGGCAGCTCGCCCACAGCCCTGTCCACCCATCGCAGCAGCCCCCTGGGGTCTCCGTGGGAGCTGCTGGGTCTGCTCTGCTCCTGGTGTGAGCAGCCACCGTGTCAAGAAGTCCCAGCCCTGCCGTCCTGTGGGGGCAAAACCCCCCTTGCAGGGAGTGGCTCTGGGCACAGGAGGAGTCAGTGAATGGTCCCAAGCTGTCGATGCTGAACATGCGCTCACTGAGCGGGCAGCCAGGAGCAGGAGGGTGGCCTGTGTTCGAATCCTGCCTTGGGCACTCCTTAGCTTTGCACAGACAAGCTCGAGAGCTCTCTGGCCTCCATGTCCTCGCCCAGGAAATGGGGACGGCAGGACACCCCTTTGCAGGATCGTGGTGAGCCTTGGCAGGAGTGGGCGGGCCTGGCCAGGGACGCCACCCCCGGGTGCAGTGGTGGGTGGCACTGCCGCGGAGCATGAGGCCCGTGGCTGTCCAGTCAGGCCACCTTGATGGGCAGATGATGGGGTGGGGAACCTGCTGTGCCTCTGGGCCCCTCTAGGGACGCGGAGACACGACTCCTCAGGGACTACAGCTCCCATGGGATTTCAGGTGTGGGAGGCGTTTGGGGACAGGTGGAAGAGAGAAGGTGACAGGGACTCCAACAGCTCCACGAGGCCCACAGGTGTCCTCTGCCTGGCCCGGGGACCGGCCAGGGACCACTGGGGTTTCCTGTCAGCGGGCACTTTGGTGCGATCCGCGGAGGAGGGAGCGGGTCGTGGCCAGGGCAGGAGGCCGAGGACTCGGGGTGCCTCCGAATGGCCCCCTCTGCTTCTCAGGCAGGTTCTCGGGAAGTTTCAGCTGGTCCCACGGGTGACAGTCTGAGGACTCGGGAAGGCCCCTTGCGTTCTCAGGGACTCTGGGCACGGCGCCGGCCTCAGAAGTGGGTCAGAGGCACCGGGCCCAGTGGAACCCGGGTCTGTCCCCGCCTCTCTTTCCCCCGCCCCCGCAGCCCTCGTGTGAAGCCGCGTCTCCCGTGGGGACCGGGGAGCCTGTTGCTCGGGCCACAGGCAGGATGGCCTGGGGTGAAGACACCAGGTGGAGGGACATGGTGACCTGCACCCCCGACTCCTGGCAGCTGCCAGACACCAGAGGCTGGTCTGCGAGGAGCAGCGGGGCGCGGCCTGGCTCCTTCTCCCCCCTGAGCAAGGACCCGAGCAGGACTCTGGCTCTGGCTTCACTCCCTGGCCACCTGGGCCACGCCTGCCTGTCCTGGGAGGGCCGCCACGTGCACAGGGCGTTGAGAGAGTCCTGGCCTCCACACACTAGGTCAAGGCCAGGCCCCTCTCGAGCTGGGACACTCACAGTAGGCAGGCATGGCCAAGCATCCTCCAGGGACCAGTCACCCTGGCCCAGGACCACCAGTGCCTGACCTTCTGTGGCCTGAGCCTTCACGCCAGATGCCTTCCACTGCGAGGGCCATTCCGGGTGTGTCCAGCACTTGGCCATCAGTCCAGCTGTTCACTGTGGACATATCTGTTGGATGGGCACACTCACTCGTTTCTCTTGGGTGCCCAGGAGGGCAGTGTTGGACCATAGGACAGACATATGTGTAGCTTCAATGGATAATACACTAGCAATTTTCCTCGGTGGTTGTGACAGTTGACAGTCCCGGCAAGATCACAAGTGTTCTGATTGCTCCAAATCCTCACCAGCAGCACTGACCTTTTACTTTGCGTTTCCCAGAAGTTGAGCACCTTGACATATGGGTCTTGGCCACTTGAGCATCCTTTGAATGAAGTGCCTATTCAAGTCTTGCTCATTTTTCCGTAGGGGTGTTCACCTTTTTCTTATTGATGGGTAGTTGCTCTTTATTTGTAACAGATACAAGTCTTTTGTTGGGTACCTACATTGCAGATGTCTTCTCTCACTTTTTGTACACTGAGATTTTTAACGTGTGGAGGGGACACTCTGCGCTTTCCTCAACTACACCTGCTGGTGCACTTGACTGCCATTCCTTGTCCTTCCTGCAAGACAGTGGGTTTCATTAACAGCAGGGGCTGCACATCTGTTTTGTTCACCTTGGGACTCTCAGCACAGGGCCTGGTTCACAAGAGGTTAAAAAAACCCCAACAAACATTTGTGGGAAGACTGCAGGAGCAAACTTGGGTTGGGATGTTTTTTGCAGCCTAAGCCTTCCACAGTTGTTGAGCCCAGGCAACGGAGACGGCGGCGCCTGCCTGTTCCCCAGCCCCCACCCACTGGAGGGTGGCAGCCAGCTCGGGAGTCTGTCAGTCCTCTGCCAGCTGGAAGTCTGCCCACCTGCACCTGCCCCGGGGAGGCGGGGCCTCTCCTGGAGAAGTGGCATTTTAATTAACTTCCCCAGCCGTCACTGGAGAGGCTGGATCATTTTCCTAAACAAATAAGAGGCCAGAGCTTTGTTTGCAGCCTGAGGGGTGAGGCCAACGGAAGGAACTCAAAACAGAGTCCCTGTGCTCCCAACTCGGAACTCGGACCCCAGAAAGGCTGGGCCTGGGATGGAGAAGGAGGAGAGGAGGGGAGGAGGAACCCGAGGAGGCTCCGCTGCGGCTGCGTGGGGTCGGGCCCAGTCCCCATGGGAGGGGAGGGAGGGGTCAGGCCAGGAACTGCGGATGTCCTTGTCCTCTAGGAAGGGGACGGGCTCGCTCCCTCCCTGGGCTCCAGGAGAATGCACAAGAAGGCGCCACCTGCTCACTGGGAAGCAGGCCTCCACCAGAGGCCAGACCTTGAACTTCCAGCCCGCAGAGCCCTCAGGAACCGATGGAGGCTGCTCTGCAGTGGGCTGGGACTATGGCAGGCGTTTCTCCCACCCGCCACCGCCCAGCCCTCGGCCGCCAGGGATGAGCATCCCCTCGGTGCCAGGCCCTGGGGAAGCCCGACGGGGTGTATTTGAAGTCTCTGCACCTTCCGCTTAATTTTGCTGAGAATTAAATCAACCTGCTCTAAAATATAAAATACACAAAGTTTGAGTTGACTTTAACAAACAACTGAGGACTGGCCCCTGCCCTGGGACACTCTCCTCCGGGAGACAGTCGCGACGCTGCTCTCTGGGAGGGACACCGCTCTGTGGATTTCCGTGGCCTCATTCGAGGAGGAACTCACAGGCCACGGCTCACCATTCAGAGTGGACAAGTCACGGCTCTCAGCACCTGCAGAGCTGGGCTTCCTCCACCACAACTTAGGAGCATTCTCCTGTCCCCCACAAAACAGCCTTCGGCCATCTCCGCCCGCCGGCCCCTCACCCAGTTCTCCCGCCCGCCCTCCCCGCCTCCCCAGCCTCCACCGGGAACCTCCCTCTGCCTCTGTGGCTTTGCCTCTAGGGCACCTCACATACCTGGAGCCACCCAGGCTGCGTCCCGTGTGTGCCCTCCCCACCTCACGCTGCCATGACCCTCGGACACTGCAGTCGGCACCATGGAAAGTAGAGAGGGCTCTGCCGTGTGCCACCAGGAAAAAGACGGCCTGAACGCCGTGGCTCCGGCTGAGTGGGCATTTAGGGCCCGAGTGCGGTGGCCCGGCAGGTGCACTCCGGGGAACGGACACAGTCACTCCATGTCTCAGTCGCGGTCGCACAGGACAGAACCCCTGAGCTGAGCGTGGGTGGGGTCCGGGAGTCCTGGGCAGAGGCAGGGCCTGCGGAGGGGGTGGGCAGAGCCAGGGCCTTCCAGGAAGCCCGGGGGAACATCGACTGCTGGGCTCCGGGGTCTCGGATGTCGGGCAGTGGGCTCCTCTGGCAGGGCCTGGGCGGCCAGCCCGAGGGAGGGGGTTCATTCCCAAGGTCTCCATGGCCCTTGGCCGAGGCCCCCAACCAGTGTCCCCCTCCACGCACCTACCTGCACAGACGAGGTGCCGGGGGTAGTGCGAGGCCAAGCTGGCCACACGCTCTGGACCTCCAGGGGCGCTGGAGCGGGGAGGTGTGGGAGACCACACCCAGGGTGGCCAGTCCTCGGCCTGTGGGCCTGGGGCAGCGGGGCTGCTGCTGCGCCCACCCTTTGTCCATAGGCTGACGGCACCAGGGAGCCGTGAACCTGGGCTGGTATCGATCAGCCCGTGGATCTGAGTGGAAGACAGCCGGGTTCCAGCCCAGCTCGCCATGTCGGCTGCCCGGCCTGATGTGACCTCAGGGTCTCCGTCATACAGTGGGGAGGGAACGGGCGGCACCCGGGGAAGGCCGGGAAGGCGTGGGAGGGCACAGCTCGGTGTCTGGGGCTCAGGGATGACCAAGGCCGTTGCTCAGGGCCTGGGCAGGGCTCTGACCCGGGGAGCCGCTGCCCTAAAGGCATCCTGGGTGGGCAAAGGCCCTGCCCTCTGGGCCTGCTCCTGTCTGCACCACGGGGAAACCAATGTGGTTGAAGTTGCACCAATCTCCTCCATACCGACCCCTTCTGGGGCCCAAGGAGGTGCTTTCCAGAGACTTAGAGGGTAGAAAGAGCTGCCCAGGTGCCAAGGGGGTCGCAGTGGGCGCTGTCACTGTGTCCTCAGACCTGTGGGACACGACAATGGCTTGAGCAGCCCCAGCAGGAAGGAAGTGTTAGCTAGGAAGGATGCCCTCCCCTGGTGGCCTCCAGGCGGTCCCCTTGACCCAGGTCCCGGGTCTCCAGACACAGTGGGGTAGGCCCGGGCTGCGTCCGGCACAGCTGCTTGCCAGCTCTGGCCTCCTGTGACACCCTGTGACACCCTCCTTCCCCCGCCCCTGCTGCCCGGCTCTCGGCACCAGCAGGCCATGCAGTGTGGTGCCCGCGTCCCCAGCCCCAGCTTGGCTCCTCTCGGGAGGCCTGGGCGGCCCACCTCGGGGCCCCGACGGCTGGGCACAGGGCTGGCCGCCTCCGCCCCTCACGCTGCTCTCTCTCCCACAGGCTGAACTCGGCAAGCCCCGGGAGAGGAGCTGCAGCCTGCCTGGCATCGACTTCAATTACGGACTCTACATCCGGGGGCTGGACGGAGGGGTCCCCGAAGGTGAGGGGCTGTGCCTGGAGCACTGGGGCCTGGGGGGTAGCAGGAGGCCCACGCCCTCCCTGGACTCTCCACCCAGGCCGGCCGCCTGGTAGCTGGCCAGGGGCCGGAGAAGACCCCAGGGGCCTCCTCTGAAGGACAATTCTGGGGGGGACACAAGCCTGGGAAGACAAGTGTGGCCGAGACGGAGTGGACCACGCAGGGTCCAGGTCTGAGCCAGGGCAGGAATGAGGGCCCAGGGAAGGCTGCCTTGCTCTGAGCTGCTCAGGCAGTGACGGACGTCTTGATGGCCCAGCCGAGGTCCAGGAGCAGGAGAGCCACCTCCTCAGGACACCAGGCGCCCTCGGGAATCCCTGGGGATGCCGCTCTGCCCTTTGGGGCTGTCACGCTTTCTGGGGCCAGGCTGTCACCCAGCAGGTTTGCTGGGACAGGAGCCTGTCTCCTCTCAGTCCTGGGCCCTGAGTGACTTACCCCAGCTGACCACTGCCCTGTGTTCTGTCCCCCTTCAGCCTTAGGGCACTGGGACGTGTTTAAGCAGCAGCCCACCTGCCCCCACGAGCTAACCCGGAACTATATCGCCATGAACCGCGGGGCAGTGAAGGCTGGCCTGGTGACCGCCCGGGAGAACATCCTGTACCGGCAGCTCAACGACATCCGCATCAGCGACAAGGATGACCGGCGGACCAAGAAGGACGCACCCTCCCTGCCCCCAGACATGACCTATGGCATCCAGGCACGGTACGGAGGCTGGCCGGTGGCGGATGGGAGGACAGAGGCTGGCCGGTGGCGGATGGGAGGGCAAGGTGGGGGGCTGGCCAGGCAGAGAGCAAACGTGGTTCTCAGGCTCTTCCTCTCTCCGAAGCCTGGCTCCCCGACTCCCGGGGCCTCACAGGGGGCTGTGCTGACACAGGCCACCCACCGCGGCCCAGGCACAGGGGTGCGTCAAGACCTTTCTCTGCCCCAGGCGTGGTGACGTGAGGGAGGGCAGGAGCAGGCCGGCGCCCTGCACCCCAGACAGCCCAGCGGGGCCAGGCCCTGGCTCAAACCAGGAATCTGCCTGTGACTAGCCGCGGCACCTGGCCTCCCTGGTAGGCCAGGTAGGACAGGAGGACAACAGTAGGTGCCTGGTGTTGCTACGGGGCTTTGGTGACATAAAGCTCTCTGCCCTCACCTCAGCTCAGTGCCAGGACTTGGTGAGCACTCCTCAGATGTCAGCTGCTATCATGGTTAAAATGACGACTGCAGTCCTGGGAGTCATGATGTTCTTAAAAATCTAATTGAAGTCTGTCTTACACATAGAAAAGGGCACGAATCGCCCAGGGCTCGGCTCCGTGCATTTTATGGATGGAAATGCTCAGCACCAGCCACTCGGAGTGGAGAATCGCCTGGGAAAGCGCTGCTCTCAGGCCCTGTGGTCACCATAGATCAGGCGCGTGTCCCTGTGTGCTCTGGCGTGTCCCGCTAACGTCAATGCTCTGAGCTTTGCAGCAGAGACTCGACCAGCCTGGGCCTGAGGCTGGTGGCTTAGTGCCTGAGGACCCACCATCCACACGGAAACGGGCAGGGAGATGGTGACAACAGCCAGGGGCTGGAGAGCCCTGTGCCCTCCCGTTCTGACCCGCCTGCCCTCCTGGCAGAACAGCCACTCCCCAGGCAGAGGAGGGCAACTCTGGGGACTTTGCCCTATTTGCTGATCTGGCCTGCCTGGCACCAGACTCCTCTGTCGGCACAGGGAACCTGCCTCCACATCCCACTTCGTGAGAACCCATGTCACCTTGACTTCAGGGAGGGGCATGTGATCAGGCCTGGCCTATCAGGGCATCAGGTTCCCCTGACCCAGTGATTGGTGTGACCCAGGCCTGGCCAGTCCATGCACTTTCAAGCCCTGGTCACAGTGTGGCCTCAGAGGCAGACAGGTGGCTCACTTCCCGTGACATGCTGTAAAAGTAGAAAGCGGTTGTATGTGATCAAAACTCAACTTGAACTGCCTTGACTATTGTTCAGGGAAGGTATCGGCTCATGAGATCGCAGGCCTGGGATAGGACAGAGCTTCAGGTACAGCTGGGTCCAGGCAGTCGGGTGGTGTCACAGGAGATGGCCTGTCTCTCCAAGTCATGGCTGTGGGCCAGGGCTTGGTCCATTCCCTGAGGGCTTCTTCCTTGCCTGACAAAGTGGGCAGTGGCTATTCCATTTTACATCTCATTCTCTGAGTGGGGAGGGTGTAGGGGACTATACAAGGCTGATGACCAACACTTTTTGTTTCAGTAGGTCACAGGCCTGTCCTTGAACTGACTGCTGGCTGTGACTAGCCAGCCTGGGTCACATGTCAGCCTGGAGCCAATGGCTGAGGCCAGGGAAACCAAATGCCCTGGTGGGCCAGGCCTGATCACTGCCCTCCCTGGAGGCCCAGAGAGGAGTCCACATGGTGCACTTGGGCGGGTGGTGGAAACGGTGTAGACTGCCTTCTGTTCCCAAAGTAGGGAGCTCGCTGGGCCGCTGAAGCAGCGGTTCCCTCAGAGGGGCTCGCCAGTCCCCCCTTCTCCATCACGACAGGAATCTACAAAGGTCACTGACATCCAAGCACTGCTCTGGACAGATAAGTAGAAAAGCCTGCTCCCCACCGCAGCAGCTGGCCGAGGCCCCCGCTGCCCTGGCCGGTCCCCAGGGCCAACGTCCCAGCCCACCTGTGGGCGCCCCGGCTCTGCCACCAGAGGCCACCGAGCCTCCAACCCCAGCCTCCCTTGCAGCCTCCCTTGCAGCCTCCCTTGCAGCCTCCCTTCCTAGCTTCCCGGGACGACTTTCTCTCTTTTGGTGGGGTCTCCACGTTCTATTTGTTCTGTTCCATTTTTACGGAGGTAGAATTATCTGGAGGAGCCACCCCTTTAGCCGTTTCCCATGCGGTGCAGGGGGACTCCGCACACTGCCCGCCCTGCAGCCCTGCACCCTCGCTGTCCCCAGAACCTTTCACCCCACCCAACAGTGACGCTGCCCCTTCCGCGCGCTCCACTTCCTGTTTCCGGGAACTGGAGGATTCTAGGTCCCTCCTGTGGATGGGTCACTCTGCATCGCCCTCGGGTCTCCGGCGCCTTGGTTTCCCAGGGTGTCTCCAGCTCCGTGGGCGCCGTGTCTGGTCTGCTGTCCTTGTCCACCTGTCTTTGCTGAGTGCTGTCTCCTGTTGTGGTGCCTAGTGCTGCTGTGAACAGGGTGTGCAGACACCTGCTCTGGGTTCTTGGGGTGGCCCTGCTGGGCCACTGGGTGACTCTGGGCCGTGTTTCAGGCAGGTTGAGGCCCTCTGGACGCTCAGGGTCAGTCCCGCACCCTGGCTTTGCCAGCTTTTCCTTCGCCCGTGGCCTCCCGTGTGCAGCTCAGCTCTCACCAGAAAACGTGCCCTTAAAACTTGGAATGTGACATTGGGGACATGGGAAGTCACTTCTGGGCTGGATTGGCTGTTGTCATTGTCCTTCCCCACCCTGGAGGTAATCCCCAAGTCAGTGGCTCCAGGGCACGCCCGCTCATCGCCCTTATATTTTTAAAATATTTAAAAGTAGAGCTCGGGGACATTAGGGTCACTGGCTGAGAGCCCTTAGCAGAGGAAGCAGAGGAAAGTTGAGAGCCAGGGAGCCTCCTGAGGTGGCACAGCACGGTGCTAGCGGAGCCGTCAGGGGCCAGGCTGGTGGACACCCTGTCCAGCGCTCTTTCCTCTGGGCCCTGCCTCTAGTTCATTCGAAGATCTCTGCAAACGCCCAGCGGCTCGTCCCCGGCTTCGGTTTCCCTTTGTTATTGCTCCAGTCGGCTGGGCCTGGAGAGGACCCCCATTATCATGCAGCTTTCAATATAAAATCTTAAATTGCTATAAAGCCAAGTGGCCACAATTCCAGGGCAAGGACGTGATGAAGTGCCCGCTACATCTTCTGTGATGGTAAATGGGCTTTGCATATGCAAATTGAATGGATTTTAAAATGGTATTTAATGACAATTTTCGTAGCAGACATTAACATTAATTGCACAGAAATGAAAATGCTACATTAGGTTGCTGTTAGCAGCAAACATCGTGGCCATAAAGCTTTATCTTTATCAACAGCAGCCTTTCCCCGTGTGACAGGGTAGCTCGGCGAATTGCAGGCACAAGGCTTTTATGGAAGGGAAATATCCCCCCAAGCAGGCCCGAATCAGCATCAATTTTGCTTTATTTCTCCGTAAATGGAGGTTAAATGGCTGCTGGAAAAGCTTTTACTGAGACGCCCAACCTGTCTGGCAAACCCTCAACCTCCCCACGGAAAGGCACAGGGGCAGTTGAAACTGGCCTCCCGTCTCCATAATGGGGCTATTACTTCAGAGTTACGGGCCGAGGCCCCTTCTCTAACGACCCCCTTTTACAAGGCTCAGTTGTATTTATTCCTTTACTTTAAAAGCATGTTAAAAACCAAATCCGATTACACTAGACTGCCGAGGAATTGCCAGGCCAATTTGGTCCAATAAATAAATAAAGAAACAAATGAGCACTGTTTACTCACGACTACGGTGCGTTGAAGTCCCGCTTCTGACTCGATGCACCAAACTCTCTCTGAGCTGGGAATGCGGAGCGGCAGAGAGCCCGGACCACATGGGGAGTCAGGCGCCAGCCTCAGCCAGCCCCGGCCCCCCCATAAGATCCTCCTTCCGTGAGATGAATGTCGGAGAGAGTGCCCACATTTACCGCCACCTCCCGCCCCCTCCGCCTCCCCATGCCTGACGAGACTCAAACCTGAACTTGGAGTTGTGCAATTACTTCCTTTCCAGTTAGCCCATTTGGTTCCCAATCCACAGCAATTTGTTAGGGGTGCATTTCAACCCATGAGCCTCTTGCTACGAGGAAGCAGAGGCCTAAGCAATTATCTGGAAAATGGAAGCCACATGACCTGTGGTCAGGGCTGGGGGCCATTCATGTCAACAGCAGTGTTTCTTTGGCCAGTGCAGTAACTAAAAAAAAAAAAAAATTAAAATTTGAACAAGGGTCTGGGGTGTAGCTTGGTGGTAGAGCTCTTGCCTCGCATGCATGAGGCCCTGGATTCATCCCCAGCACCATACAAAAAAAGTTCGAATGAGTTGGCACATTTAAAATGTCAGGCCCTGTAAAGCTCTGGGCTTCCTGCTTCTCTGGACAGACTAGAGGCCTGGGCAGCAGGGGGGGGGGGCTGGGGCTGAGGGACGGCAGCTCTTGGTGCGAAGTCAGTGCTCTTCTGTGCACCCCAGTCCTCATGGGGCCTGATTCCCATCATTTGCATTATCTGCCTGGTCCAGGTAGACCCCGAGTTTCGTGCAAACCTGGTGTAGACCTATGGTCTTGGCCTCAGCTCCTCTTTTGACCTCTGAGAACAGTAGGGCAGCCACCAACCAGTGCCGCTGTGGGCTGAGCTTCAATGTTGCTGGCCTTCTACAGGCACGGTGGCTAATCCCTCCGTTTTCCTGTGAGTCAGATGTCATTCTGCACACTCGCCGGCCTGGGAAGGGAGCCTGCAGCCATACAGGGCACCGCCTGTTTGCATGAGGTCTAGCTGGCCCCATGAAGTCCACTCCTCTGGAATCAAACAGCTGGAAAGAATCCAGGCACTGTCTCCTCATCACTCTCTGATCTCAGCATTCAAGTCAGGGAAGAATTTAAAATTCTCATCACCAGAATGTAAGGCTATAACACAGATCTCAGCAGACTGTGACCTGGGGTCCATAAACAGATATGTCTGGAGGCCAGATATGTAACT